TAGGTAGGAGACAACAGTGATGGAGAGGGGAACAAGCAGGATGAACAAAGCCAACACAAAGTCCACCATCTCTGCCACTGACATATCAGTGCAGGCAAGGTTTAGCACTGGGCTGATATCACAGAAGAAATGGTTAATAACATGGGAACCACAAAACTCCAACTGAGAGATGAAGGAGATCTTGATCAAGGACACAGTGAACCCAGTGAACCAGGAGAGAGCTATCAGGCATACACACATCTGGTACGTCATGATGAGGAGATAGCGTAGTGGTTGACAGATGGCCACATAGCGATCGTACGCCATGGCAGAGAGGAGGACACATTCAGTGCATATGAAAGAACTGAAGAAAAAGAGTTGGGTCATGCATCCCGCAAAGGAAATGCTCCTGTCTTCTGCAATGAAGTTTGCCAAGAGTTTGGGGACAGTGACGGAGATGTACCAGACCTCAATGAAACACAGCTGACCAAGAAAGAAATACATGGGTTTGCAGAGTTCACGGTTTGCTTTGATCAGGGAAATGATGAGCACGTTCTCCACCACCGTTACAACGTACGTCAGCAGCAATACTGTGAAGAGTAGAACCTTGAAGTCCACCAGGCCTGGGAATCCTAACAAGAGAAACATGTTGGTTTGGGTGGAATTCTTCTTCTCCATTCTGAGAAGTTTGTATCTAAACACTGTAGATTGAACAGAGACCTGGTAAGTCAAGGAAAACAGAAAAAAGGGGAATATAGGATAGAGGTATGAACATTAAAGGCTTTTTTTCCCCGTGGGAACTGAATAACAATTCACAAGGCAGACCAGAAGTTTTGTGATTAAGCTTTAGATGCCTGCCGTGTCGTTTTTCTCTCTTAGTGGAAAAAACAACTCCTACCAACTTTCAGATGAGATGTAAAGCATCCAAAGTGAAGGTTCAAAAATAATAAGAATGCAGGTGACTAGCATAACTGTAGGCATCCACATAGAAGACCTTGAAGTACATTCTGATTAATCCCACCCCTGATTCTCTAGCTCATCTTCATTCTAGTTGTTTGCTGAATTGTTTTCAACAAAAAAGGAAGCAACCACATGAATATGACTGTAAGAACAGAAATTAATATCTCTCTCCAGATTACAGTCGCTGGTCACAAAGATCTGCTGGACACCATCCTGCAAACCCAATGCTGGCATCTGTATACATCCAGGGGCCGGGTAACATTTCAGCCGGGGATAAACTTCTACCAAATTGTTGGTGCATTAAATTAATATTTACATATGATTTTTCTCCCCATTAACCAAATAGTACAATTCCTAGACTTTCAGTTAAAATATAGACAATTTCCCTTTTCAGATGAAGTGAATTGCTTCTAAAGGGACCCAATAACAAGTAGGGCATTAGCATCTCCAGGGATTGCATTGCCATCATTTTATTTGCAGAAAGGTAGGAGCAGCCTCAGCACAGTGCAGAGCCCAACATTTCTAGAGGAAAATTTCTGACACTAAAATTTGCTTTACAGTAATTTGTTTTAACCTATAAAGTCCGTTTGAAAGCACTGCCTCATTAATATTGACATCAAAACGTGGATAATATTCCTGTTTTCACGTCACAGTTTTGCTTGAATATCAATGCAGTATAAGCTTCTACATCAAACTCTAACTCAGACGTGTACCTGTGAAGCATGGAAATTACAAATTACAGGATTTAGCATCCTTCTGTAATGGCATTCAGCAAACCAACCCGTCTCCTCATTTATGCCAGGGAGGAGTGTGCGTAGACAATTTCTCCAAAATGAAACCTTGGTAACTGCGTGCAATAACTTACGAGACTTAGTCTTTGTGAAGTTCACAACCGGGGTGGAAGCAAAGCAAAGCTTGAGACTTTTCATCAGAGGATCAATCAGCTGCTCATTGGAGCCATCTTTTGATTCATCTCCAAGCCTCTGTGTTCTTCAGTTGTTCTTGAAATAATGCATGGAAGAGAAATTGGAAATGTCTTATTGTAGTCATGGTTCTACAACCTTTGTTGAATCTCTGGCAATCTAGACCAGGCTGTGAATGCTTTTTGAATACAGGAGCGTAGTTCTACACGGAGGCTTTTGAGACCCTGTCAGCAAGATTTCAGACCATTTCCTGGGGGGTTTGGTCTCTGGAGAGATGGCAGCAAGAGTGACTCTTTTTTTTCCTCCCCTGCCGTGTTAATCACCACAAATTTGTGTTTGTCAGCAAGGTCTCAGATAGGAGTGGCCCAGTAGCTGTTTCATGAGCTGGAAAGCAAAATCCTTGAATCACTGACAGCTCCTTGTTGAATATACGCTGGCAATGCCTGAGCTGCACATACTGCCTGTCCAAAGCTGTCCGTTCTGTGTATCTCTCCCACTCTCAAATGCTGTTCCAGTTCTGCACCAAGGGTCTGCTTGGCAAATGTAGGCTTCTATCAAAGGTTAATACCACCTTACATTCCAAAGAGTCTGGAGGTGATAGCTGGATGTCACCGTCTCCCTATCAAGACAGTCCCCACCCCACCGCTCACAGCAGATTATGAATCTCTTCATATATATAGGGGAAAGCATTTGGAGACTCACAATGTCTCTGTTGAGCATTACCAACACAAAACTGCCTTTGATTCTTCCCCGGAAGCAACAGAGAGGGGTGGTGATTGAAATCCTCACCTGTGGCCAAATATGCCAGGTGGCATATGATATACA